CTCTGGAAAGGTTTGGATCCAGACTGTGCAGGTGACTCTCCCTTCTGAAGAAAGATGTCCCATTTGCAACTGGTCCCTGGAGCACCTCTCTGTGTAGTGGGTTGACCCTGGCCAGATACCAGGTACCCACTAAAATTTATTACTAACAGGATAAGAGCCAAAGAATGAGAAATAAAATAGTCTTAAAAACACCTTATCCTAAAAAACACCATTCCTTCCTTCCATGTTCTCCCTCCTCCCCCCCAGCTGTACAGGGGGGCAGGGAATGGGGGTTACTGTCAGTTGTTGTTTCTGTCGCTGCTCAGGGAGAGGAGCTGGAGTCCTTCCCCTGCTCCTGTGGGGTCCCTCCCACGGGAGACAGTCCTTGATGGACCTCTCCAGGGTGAGTCCATCCCTCGGGCAGCAGCTCTTCCCAAACTGCTGTCCCATGGGTCACTCCTCCATGGGGTCAGTCCTTCACGGATGAGCTGTACTGGCCTGGGTCCCCCACAGGGGCCACGAATCCTACCTGGGAAAAACCTGCTCCAGCCTGGGCTTCCCTCTCCATGGGCTGCAGGTCCCTGCCAGGACCCTGCTCCATCCTGGGCCTGCCACGGGGTCACAGCCTCCTTCCTGCATCCCCCTGCTCCGGTGTGGGAGCCTCCATGGGCTGCAGGGGGGTCTCTGCACCCCGAGGCTCCCCCAGGGGCTGCAGGGGGGGTCTCTGCACCCCGAGGCTCCCCCAGGGGCTGCAGGGGCACAGCTGCCCCACCCTGCTCAGACCCACGGGCTGCAGGACCTCAGCTCCAGTGCCTGGAGCACCTCCTACCCCTCCTTCTGCACTGACCTCGGGGTCTACGTTGTTATTCCCATGTTCTCACTCTGCTCTTCCCTGGCTGGAATTTTTTCTGCACAATAGTCTTCTTTTTCTTAAATATGTTATCCCAGAGGCGTTACTGTCACTCCTGACTGGCTCGGCCTTGGCCAGTGGCAGGAATTCCGTCCTGGAGCCACTGGCATTGGCTCCATGGGACAGGGGAACCTTCTGGCAGCTTCTAACAGAAGCCACCTTTGTAGCCCCCCCTGCTACCAAAACCCAGCCATAGAAACCCACTACATTGTCCTTGTCATATCCTCCTTTAAACTGCAAAATCTTACCAAGCCAGAGCATGTGTGTGGACCTTCCCCTTCTGGGTCAGCTGTTTCAGTGTTACTGTGGACTGGTGCTATGGACTTCCTTGGCTCACCTGGCAGCCTCTCCATCTTTAACTCTGGAGTTTGATTTTCACAGTGTATTTTGGATAAAGCAGAAGGAAGTGAAGGAATGTTCAGAGATCTTGAAGCCTTGTGTCATTTGCTGAGGTGCTTGTATGCCTGATTAATTATTGCCTAATTATAAACCCTCAGGGTCATACTTTTCACCAGTGAGAAGAAAATGTTACATAGACTGCCAAGAAATATCAGATTTTCCATCCCAGCTGTTTTGTGATTAAATGGCTGCACCATGAATTTAAGAGAGCTGTTCAGCTGCACTTGGGGATGGTTTGCCATTTGTTTATCCCTCTAATGTCATGCCAGACAGAACCTCAACTTCTCCTCTCTTTCTCACCAGAGGATTTTTGGTACCTAGCAGCAGTGGATAGGTATGGCTGAAGTGACACAGTTGGTTTTCCCTTTTTTCATCTCAGAATGTTGCTGTGCCCACTGCAGGGGAAGGGGACAGAAGCACAGTAATGCTCACACTGTGTAGCAAGGCAAAGGAATGGGGGAATTCCTTTTTTCTCTTTTTTTTTTTTTATTTTCTATTTAAAAATAGAACAAAACTGTTGAGAAAACTTTGGAAAGGGTTTAAATGGGTAAACTAGGCTGTAGTTCTCCTTAATCTCAAGTCTTTCCAAAACCAAAGAAACTCTATTTGAATAGCTGAGCTTCCATGAGCAACTGATGGAGAACTTGCAGGTCCCTAATAAAGCACCAAGCAAAGACAAAAAGGATGGTAGGAAGACACTGATTTGTGCAAGTTAAATAATCATGAGTCTATTGCAAGAAAGGAGCACATTAAACTGGGGTTGTTAATTTATCAACAGCACAGTCACTTAATAGACATGCAACATATTTTACTGCTGTTTTGGCATTAGTCTCTGGCAGAGAATTGTCTCTAAACATGAGAGATATCTATCACAAAAAAAAAAATACGGACTAACTGGTGTCCTAATATGAATAGAAGTCAGAAATCTGAATATCAGTGACCTCTGAGGAATTGCTGAAGTGCTGTGGGATGTGTATTTTAGAGAGTGATGGCTGAGGGGAGGCAATACATGTGTGTTTGTAAGAAGAAGGCAGTGAACATACTGCTCTAAGCAAAGAAAAAGAATAAAAAACAATAGGTAAGAGAATTCCAGGTTTAGAAATTTTTTGAACTTTCTAAAACTCTGATGGTTGTTCACTGGAATAGATTATTTAAGGAGAATCACTGTCTTTGCAGATTGCAAAATCCAGGAGGGATAAACACCTGTTAAAAGTTGTGTAGATAGAGTTGTTCCAGCTTCACATCTGGGTGTTAGATGCATATTCTGTAGACTATACAATAAATCTGTGCAGAAATGAAACATCAAATTTCTGTTAAAAGGCAACATGCAGAAAGTTCACATTTTTGTCCAACTGTGCTTTATGGACACCTTAACAGTACAGGCCTCAGAGGTTCGCACAAGAGAAAAATGATGTTCACTTTGGACAATGAAGGACAATGAAGTCTATTATTAGATCTGTGCAATGTCCATTAGGAAGTGCTGGCCCTGTCCCTAATCGATGTAATTTAAACTGTGCAGTAGGAGGGGATCTCTTAAGGGTATCAGAACCAACAGAACATCTGAATTAGTAAGCAAAATAAAATTGTTTCCAGCAAATGTCTCTATCCTCTCTGGCTACAGGGGCATTGGGACCTTTGCAGACTCACAGGGGGTGTGATGAACACGTGTGTGCCGAGGGGCATTTCCAGCCACTGCCATTTCTTGTTTGGAGGATTTAATGCAGAGACTTGTTTGAGATCAGGTACCTCCACTGTCAAAGCATCATCAACAGCCTGAATCTCTTGAGAGGAAAACCAAAACATCACATCAACCAGCTAGTCTGGTCTAAATTTTTTATTTACTTATTTATTTTTTTTCCCCACTCCCTGAAACGTGCCCTGGGCCAAAGGGAGTTGTTTGGGTTTTTAGATCCAAAACTTTTGCTGATACTCCATAAAAATGCCAGTTCCCAGTCTGTTCTATGTGCCACCTTTAGTGACTTTGCCAAGCACCTTCTTTCTTGTATTAAAGTCTGGCAAGCTCTTCAAGCAAAAATATTCTGTCTGTACTTCAGAAGGAGCCTTTACTCGTCTGTGTTTGCCTGGAAACTGTTTGCAGGAGAGTTGTGTGTTCCCCATGGGGGGAGAACAGCTCCTGCTGCTCACTGCAAACCAACTCAATCCCCCTGTTTCTGCCCTTCAGAAAGGATCCCAGTTCTCAGTGCAGACCCCAGGATTTGCTCTGTACCTGTCTGTGCCCTACAGCATGTTCTGGATTCAGCCACTCTGTCAGTAGCTTTCACAACAGCATCAGAACTCCTGGAATACACTTGGATTTGCCAGCATAGGAGGTTTTTATTCCTGAGTGGAGACCAAATATAGATCAATGAACTGCTTAATTTCAAAATTAATACAGAAAATTGAATTTGTGTTAGAGGATTTTAAATTGACCTGCTCCCCAGATGTAGGAGCAAGAGGCTTGTGGTTTCTTCCCCAAGAATTTAATCCTGCAGGCACAGCTCATGTGGAGCAAGTCCTTAGTCACAGAACAGTTTGTTTTGACAGTCCTAAATGATCCATACGAGTCACCCTTGCTGTACAAGAATTAAGTAATGTCTCCATGTCAGCACTTTGCTGAGAGCATGCTGAAGTTAATTTGCACCCCAGGTCAGTGCCCAGATTCTTTCAAAGGAGTGACACTGAGCATAACTTTTTGGATGTCTGTAGACCTTGGCTGAGGTCTTGGCAGCACCGTGTGTGTGAGTGTCCTGCACAAGACCAATGAGGAACCAGGGCAGCTGTTCCCAGGCCTTGGCTTTGACTTATGACTAGTCACAGAAATTGTCCAAATTCATTTTACTGCTGTACACATCAGCAAGTAAAGATCTATTAAATTACCAATGGTAATTGCCATCACTTGTTTCTGGTACTTTGTATTTAAAAAAATTATGAACTCTTTACCTGAAGGTTGTTCACTTTGGTGTGTTACACAGGACAAAGGAGATCCACAGGTATTCCCACACTTCTCTGCTTTTGCTGGCAAAGCATGAAGCCAGCAACTTCACATAATGAATTGAACAACAGTTCTGTGCAGAGAGTAAAAACCAATGACAAACATCACTGCTGTGACCTTAATTTTCCTGTCGTTTACCCCTTTTGAATGATGCTTAGAACTGGTATCAATCACGTATTATCTTCAAGAGAGAGAATAACTGTGCAGAGTCAGATCTTTCTTTTCTATGTGACTCATCCTTAATTGCCTGCATTCAACAGAGGACAATTCAGTTTGTGTGGAAACAGAGGAGATCTCAAAGGGAGAGTTACAAACAGCTCCTTCTCTCTGAAGTGCTTCTTGATGGAACCATGATGGACCAATATCTACAGAGCCAATTCCAGCTGCAGGTTATTTCAAATTCGTCTAGACAAAACAGAAAAGTTCTGGGTTATTACTATTACACACTGCAAACAGAAGCCTGAGGTGCAAAGAATGGTCAATTCATAAATCTAACGTGACATTATCTAAAACTGAACAGCTAGAGAAAAAAGTCAAGTTTTTCATTCTACCTTCAGGATAAAATGCTTGGAAGTAAAAACATTTGGAAGGGTATTATCTACCAGATTTATAGCATTTTTTTTGAAAAGTTACCGTTCTACTTATTTGCACTGTATAAGGCAGGTGCCTCCTCAATGCTCCTTTCACTTGTTCAAGTTTCCTTTCACCCACTTATTTCAGTTGTGACCAAGGGTAATCTGGATTTCTTTGGGTCAAAGATAAGGATAAATACCAAAGGACCAAGACATGCACTGGATGTTTGTTCTTCACCTGCTGCCTGTGCCTGTTTGTGCCTTCAGGACTCGTAGAGCTGAGGATGGACATGGAATGATGCCTTATGAAACAAGTTTAAAGCGTTCTAATATGGTAATAACTACTATTTGCTTTGTTCTGATTTAAATAGCTCCATGACTTGCCAGCTCAGGGGAAGAGTAGGTCCAGCACTATCTGTCTTAGTCCAGAGGTCCTCAGTGGGATTTATAAACGATATTTTCAGGAATCTTATCAATCATCCTTAAACCCAAACACCTTTGACATGTACCACATGAGCACCATGTTAACAAATAGACCTGGAAAGGGACCCATTCACACCCACCTTATTATACCCTGCATACAGCTTTTAATGCAAAAAAATAACTACTTGTGCTTTTGCTCAGTGGTTGTTCCTCTCAGTACCACGATAGCAATGGCATGGCATTATCTGGAGTCTTTGTACCTCAGACCAGTGATTTAGATGGGAATGTGCTGGTGAGATTTGGCCCAACATTTTTTCCTATTGCATTTCCCTCAGTACTTTCCATGTAAAGAGCTGGATGCTCTAGAAGGTAACCCTGTTCTGTGGGTGTGGAACCCAAATTCATACCTGTAGATGTCTAGAACCAAAAGGGAGATTTGTGAAGGCTGACAGGTCATAAAAACCTCTAGTAAAGGAAATTTAAGGTTATTTGCTTGGAATTTAAGTTTTTCTCTGTCTACATCACAGATTTTTCTAACATACAATCTAAACTCTTTTCAATGCAAATTAAGCTCTGATTGTACAGATAGTGGTCAGTCTGTTGTCTACTACAAGCTGTTTTCATCTGTGCCCTCCTTTCTTTCTAAAGAGATCTACCTCGTTTAATTTTTCCTTGCATCGCCTTTGGCTGTCCTCTGAATTCTCTTCTCTTTGAGATCTGTCCATCTCTGAGTGCAGTGGTCACAACTGGACCCTGTCTCCCAGCTGAAGACTCCCCAGTGAAAACAGAGCAGAAAAAATGACTTCCCTGACATACAGATGACACTGCCAAAGCCAGGCCCACTTAAGGTGCTTTGCTTGCAGCCAGGCCTTTGACTCCTGATAATTCCACCATCACTGCCATCCTCCCAGCACATTTGGTACTATACACACGAACATATTCCCTCCTCCAGACACCACGGGGAACTTACCTTTGTAATGCCTTGATTTGGGATCATCTTTCCAACACGCTGCTCTTGAGTTTGCATTGTCTCCTGTGGTATTTGCAGCTGTGGTGGTGCCAGTTGCAGGCACACAAAGTGGGTTTCCCATGGCCATGCAGCTTAGCCCACTGGGGGACAGAGAAGCTCAGCAGGACCTTTGATTTTTTCAGAAATTATTTGGTGTTTTTCTTTCTCTGTACTTAAAATGTGCTGTGAGCATAAAATGCCACTGTGGGATGGGAATAGATTTTTAAAAAAGAAGTGTTGGAAACTAAGCACAAAAAAGAAGGATGTCCCTTTTACCATCTATGAGGGGTGGGGGACTGACCCTAAAAAGAAACAGTGCAAAAGCTCCTGCTTGTTGGGACATGCAGGTGGGCTGCTGTGCTTCTCTTTTATGAACATGCAAGAGCTGCAATTACTGGGGGAAAGGGCAAGGCTTTTTTATGAGAAGCAATCACAGGGACTCACTTTTTCCAAAAGGTACATTGTACTTGCTCTCAGATTGTTGCGCTGTGTGGTGATGAATAACACTTGGAAGCAGATGTCAAAAGCATCATTGCTCAGTGGAAATAGTACATTTTTTCCATTTTATGTCTAGTTTAGACTATATTAAAGAGGAGGGAAAAAATTTAAAAGCTGAAAACATGCTGAAACAAGTTACAGTTGTAACAGAATTGACGACAGCCAGGAAATTCCAAGTTTGGGTCCTCACTCTGGGCACTCAGACTAAGAGTTCACCACTAACCCTTGGGTTAGTGTTGGTCACAACAGCTTCATCCTTGTTATTTGCTGCTATGTGTGTGCCTGTTTGATGCTGGCTGTTTTTCTCTTTTCTTTTGATCTTTCAGAAGAATTTCTGAAGTCCGTGTCCTGCCCCGTGTGCCTTCATACCAGTTCAGAGCGGTCAGGGAACTATGAACTTTATAAACACTCATCTAAAATGCTCTGCATCCCAGAAAGGTCACAGAAGGTTTGTTCTAGAGACAAGAATGAACACAAATATGAACTTCTATCACTGTTTATTAAAGCATGTGATATTCACATAAACATTGCAGTATTTTCTTTGCATGTGTTAATAATAAAAACTTTCCGTATTACTAAAATCTGAATATTTAAATCATGTAATGTTATTTTTTATTGAAGGTAATATCAAATTATATTTTACTCAAATATTGACAACAAAAGCTGATCTGCTTGGGTTTGCTTTGATCCTCCTGTGAATGGCACAGAGCAGTTCCATGTGCACATAATGAGATACAAACCAGATTACATACTAATAAATGCAGTGTAACCATGCCAACCTTGATGCCCATGCTCTGTTTACCCTGCTCCTCTGATGTGGTCAGATTGTGCATTTCTTCCATTTGTTAAGTTTGGAGAGGCGATATGATCTGGAGATTTCTAGACCATGAAGATTATGGTCAAAAGTGGGCTATTGTGGTCATGTAGAGCAGTTATGGATCACAGGGATTAATCTCTGTTGAAACAGAAGAATCCTGATCTTACAGTTTCCACTGATCCAGCACAGTCTGTCTTCACTTGTTCCAACAGTTGGTAACCAGAGTGTTAAATGTGCTCCTCAACTCTTACTCTGTATTTGTGCACCTTTTACCCACTGCACTTGAAAGCATTTTATTTCTCAGACCTCTTCTCTTAGGTACTTAACATGTTAGCATGGAATCCTCTCTAATAAGTTAAACCAATGTCACTCCCAGACACCTTTACCCAGAACCTGTTCAGTTACTAATCCTGAACCAAACTGAATAAGGTCAAGGTGGCAACTGCACCAGTACCAGACCCAGAGATGGTGTGACCACACTTTCCATATAGGATATTCCGTGTTTGAGAGTTTTTGATTACCTGCCTATCCATGTGATCCCTGAAAAGGAGCTGGAGTGGCTGTGGAGCAGATGGAAGGCCCTGCAGGAAGGCTGTCAGCTGAATGTATGACCTGGGATTTGGCTGTACAGGGGCTGGTGCTGCTGCCCCACTTCCCAAGGGGTGCAGATCCCTATCAGTGACCATGCTCTTCCCACTTTCTCTTCCCACAATGTTTTCTACAGTCATCCTTGGCCAATGTTTATTTTATGCTTCTTCGACACCACAGTGCGTTAACATAGTCCCAAAGTCACTCATGATTATCAGCAGGCAAGTGTGTTTCTGATCCTCCTTTTAAATGCAGACAATTGATTAATCTTAGTTAATTTTAAATCTTCTTAATATCTCCCATGTTGATTTTGTCTTTCTGGTTTCTCAATGAACAGCTTTTGCTGAAGTTCAGCCAAAATAGCTTTCTGTGAACCCCTATTGATTTGGGTTGGGTGTAAATGCTCTTTGAGTGTCATGGGTTGAAATACTTGCTGTTATCCCTGTATTTCCCTGTCTGGGAAGGGAGGCTGACCAGGCTGTCTTTGGCCAGACTGTCCAACCTACCCTTTTTAGAAAACTGGCACATCACCAGCTTTCTTTTAGTCCTCTGGAAATTCCACTGTGTTTCAAGAATTCCAAATATTCCAAGACTTATGATGTCGTGCGATCTTGAATCCAAACTCCCCACCACATTTCCCTTCACAAAAATAACCATGAACTTTCTAAATTCAATTTATTTCTTTAAAGCATTTCCAATGGTATAATGTTTTGTAGAATGTCTTTTATTGCAAAACCTAAATTTGAAGCCTAAAAGCTGGTTGGCTTTATCTTTAAAAACATGTTTTTTAAAAGATTCTCATTGTTCTACCCAAGCCATTCCAGTTGTGGTATAAATAATTGTTTTAGTGTCTATTATCCTTAAACACACTGTGTGAAGAAAGTGAAATTCCAGCTGGACAAGTGTAGATAATTAATTTTGGGGCAAGTTGTATTCCAAGTATACAGGGTTTGAATTTTCTGTTTGAAGTAGATTCATCATTTATCTAAACACGAGGCATTAATGTGTATTTTTTGAAGGAATATGATCAAAACCACAGTGCAGACCAGGTTAGCTTTAAAAAACAGAGAATATGGACACCCACCGGGTGTTTAAGGAAAGTACAAATTATCAACTCCAAAGTACCTAAAGAAACAGGAAAACTGTGAGGGACAAGTTTCAGAAGAGCCCTGGGATAAGTTGGAGTTATTTGTTAGACTGGGAGCAGGGTTATGTCTGTTCTGAGGTTTGAAGGTTAAAAGGAGGAGGTCGAAGCCAGCATGGAAAGAACAGGGTCAGTGGGTGAGGACATGCTCGGGCTGCACTCTGTGCTCCCAGTCAGAGGAAAGGATGAGCACAGCTCCACTGTTTTTTGAAGGCATGTTCTAAGGTTCAAACGCATCTTGCCTGGAGCTGTTCCTCTTCTGGTGCCCTCTTGATGTGAATGGAAAATGTTTTAGCACTTGAGCAGGTCCTTGGAAGGTCTTTCAGAAGCAGTGGCTGCAAACAAATGATGGTCATTTGTCTGAGCAAGGTGAAGGATCCATGGGAATTTCAGCCACACAACTATATTCTCCTGTGCTTGATAAAACTATTTGTTCTCAAACCAACCTTCTATTTTAGCAGTGTAGCTGATGCTAGGTGCTTATTCCTAACAGTGTTCGTGCTATAGGCTTTGAGTTATCCTCCAAGGCTTGATGCCTTTGGTGGTGTGGCTTTTCTAAAATGCCAATGGACATTGTCACACATTAAACTAATGTCAGTCACTGTCTAAAACTGAAACTGCCTCAGTGGTGGATATATATGGCTTACAAGTTCAAAGTATTTTAAAACCAGTAACCTATTAAATACAGAACAGTTTTGTAGCATGAGAACCACTTTCTCTGTTTTACAGCTGAGGGAAACCGATGAATAATACACAGCAGTGGCAGAGCTGGTGGGAAAATTCTGGAATGTTGAACATCAGGGCACCTTCAAGGACCCTGTTCTCTCCTTTGGCTCATATGGCTTCTATTAGCTACAGCATTTCACTTTTTTTATCAGTGGCTTTAATATTAAAAGACATTATCCTTGGTGAACTTCTGTTTAGCAAATGTGCTTTCTGCCTTCAATCTGGTAAATGCAACCCAGAGCTCCCAAGGTTAGTGCCAAGTTAAAAAGCCCCATGAAAATGGACAAAACAACCAAAATCAAGCAAAAGTATGGCCAAGATCAGTCTTCCTCACCCCAGTATTGCTGTCAGGGAGCATAAGGACTGATCTGACCTTAATGAAATATTTGGAAGTGCTGTCTTGCAGGGAGCACAACTGATCTGCAGCATCCCTGCCGGATCACGCTGCTGGCTACGTGTGGCATTGGTGGCTGTGAATGAGTTTTTGATGCTCCCTTTTATTAAACTGGAAAAAAAAA